ATTATATTTATCATTATTATTCATTTAAGTATAATCCAAATTTATTATTTATTCATTTTCTTGTTATTGTTTATCATTTATTTATTTTCTATATTATTATTGTTTATTTTTAACACTATTTACTTATTTATTTTGTCACTTCGATCTTTGAGTCTAATTCGTGCATTGACACATTTCCGACTGTTTAAATTGATATAATTATGCTTGCATTTAATTGCGCAATATCTTGATTAAATCGTGTTGTAGAGATATTACTGTTTGCTTGTATAATAGTGTGGAATTGGATGAATGATGTCACTCATTGGTCTTGAGGACCGGTCTGGACTGTCTTTGGTACGGTGGTAATGTTGAGATCCGCGCCCCCGTGTTTTACTACCGTTGTAATTTGACATATATTGGAAAACCCACATGTTTGCTTTTTATTGGACTCATCCATAATCTAATATGATCGCATCCCGCAGGGTGCCTCCCTTGTTGTGACGCCTGCATTATCATAGATTTGATGATTACGACTGTTGTCTCCATTGTTGTATTGAAAAAGAAAGAATAATCGTGTAAAATCAATGATGGGTTGTCAATGAGGCATTAACCGGTCCAGTATGGGACGCTCCCTGGTGCACCACCTTATGAGAGGATGGGCCATGTGTTCAGCACGCATTCATCGGGGCTCGGTGACGCACAGACACCAATTTTTCCACTTATTTGATTATTGAAGATTGTTAAGTGATCTGTGAGTCTTGTTGCTTCCATTGTGTGGTACTGCTTTTGAGCAATAACTATCGGAAGTACCTAATTTGTATGTTATACACATTGGTCGACTATGTTTGTTAGTTGCGAATTAATTATTTTACTCTTAGAAAACTAATCATGTCTGTTAATTTTTCAGGAAGTAATTTCTCTTTTATTCGATTTTACGTTACGTTCTTCGACGTGATGCACTAAAAAAATGTTCCCTATTCCATAATTTTTTTATATTACTGTTTTTATTATCTTATATAACTGTATGTCTATATCATTAGTGACTCCGCCAGTTGAGAATTTATTTACATTAGTCTTTTTATTATAGACGATCAACCATTTTATACCCATTATTATACAAGTTGAATTTTTAATTGGGCCCAGAATGTGGAAATTAAGCTGATAATTCGGCTGAAATGTTTATAAACTTAATTGAGTTACGTAATTTTATAAATTTCACGCCTTATTACGGGCCTCGCGCGCCTCTAAGCTTACTTGCCTAAGTTGCGGTTCCGCCCATCTGAAATCGGTCGTTGACCATATATACATAGTCTTCTATACATAATTACGATTAGTAACAATAATTATGGAACTAGTAAAATTTCTTACTTAGCCCTGCGCCGAAAACATAGGCTTAAAATTCGAATTAAGAGAAATCTACTTCTCCTGACAAAATTAAACAACACAATGTGAGTTTATCTAAAAACAGTAATCATTATTGACAACCATCGCATTATACACAAATGTGTAAACATAATCCAATCTATACATCCACAGATATAATGCTCATCAGCCAAGTCATATAAAGCACCATTCACCACACTCACAATTATTACATCTCACATAATCACCTCCATTATTAACATCTTCACATAATCACCTCACTTGGAAATTGGTCTGTGGCGTCACCTAAACCCCCAGTGAGCCGTCCTCCCACATGGCTCACCCTCTCATATCGTGTGCACCAGGGAGCCGATCCACCATACATGGTCGACCTGTCTAATCCTCACTTGACCAGCCCTCTCATTGTTTTTCCATTCTCTCTTTTCTTTTCCATACCAACAGGAGGCCACCCTTTGGTTTATCCATATTATATCATCAGGTGCACACGTGGGCGCCAATCTCCCAAATGGCCAACGGTCTCGTAGACCACCCTCACAAACCCATGGTGACCCACGTCATTCCAACTCTACACAAACATGGCAAAACATTGTCACATCACAACTAATCAAGCATTGCAATTAAATGCAGACATATTGATCAATTAAACATCGTAATGATGCCAAATGCACAATTAGACATACCATACTCAAATGAAATAAATAAAATAAATAGATTAACAATAAATAACAATGAATATATAAATAATAATAAACAACAATAATAATGAAAATAAATACGTAAATAATTGAATAATTAAATGAATAATAATGATAATAATAAAATAATTAAGAGCACTTTATTTATTAATTATCAAGTTTATAGAATTAATCTAAAATAAACTTATTAAATTATGTTATAATTAAGAACTAAATCTAGGTTCTATCGAAATTTCGGCAGCACCTTTCCTCCTAAAATTTGACTAAACCTCAAATTAATATACGTTTCAAAGAGCCCATCCTCGGGCAAATCCAAAATAACTAACCCGTCCCGCCATAACTAGTGTTCATTTCATCTAAAGTCATTCCACTCAATTCACATAGCCCCATTCCGTCGGGGTAATCAATCAATTTAAATACCCAATCCTCCTAAACTTCAACCATAAAATTCAAACCAATTTCAATAAATATCCATATAATATTAATTTAATAAATCATAGTTAACTAAATTAAATAGCTTTATGGTAACTAATTGTTAAGCAATTAAAACTTACTTAAAGCAATAACTAATTATAATCACACCCTACTTAAAATTCGATTATTATGTCATATCGAAAGTGGTTAGGCCTCCCCGAACCTAACTTTAATCAAAAATTTGCATCTACCGTTAACCGACTAAAACTCGTCTTACTTTTTTATGCACAACCCAACTAGTTTTAGAACTAATATCATCTAATTAACAATTAATTAATTCTAAATTTATCTCCTCCCAAATCCATTAATTCTAATTTATCTCCTCCTCAAATCACCTAATTATAATATTAATTCATGTAGTTTATTTAACAATGTTAAAAATTAATTTGTAACTATATTATACCAGTTAACTAATTCCTAGCAAGGATTATAGTTGATTAATTATTTATACAAATTCAATTTAATTAATTAATAGTTTTAAATTCGTAGTTTATGACAAAAATAAAAAAATAGGTCTTAGGACGTACCGATCGAAATTCGGGCGACGATTCCAAGATCCACGCGAGGAGAGGAAGATTCTATCTCTTGGTGCCTCGCCGGAGTGTCGACGGACGGCCGTCGTACACGGTGGCTGGAAAAGTCAAAACTGCCCAGAAATTTGTAACGATCATACCATTTGACTCAAAATTCACCAAGGATTCCATTTCCGGTGTTAGTTTAGTGAGATCAGCCCTCTAATTGGACAAAGCGGCTCGACAGCCGGTTCACCGCCGCCTTCACTGGCATTTCCACTTCACGGGCTCCATCTTCAAAATTAATGGAGGGGAAATGTTCTGGAGGTGACTGGGAGTCGATTGGGTCCCTTCCCAACGCCTGATATCCACTAAACGGTGAGATTTTGCCGAAAAATCAAAGAGCAGGGTGTGGTTTACGGAAACAGGTCCAATCGTGCCGCTGGAGCTCCGTTCGCGTGAGAGGAGGCTGGAAACTTAGTCAGTGGCACAAGGTGAGTCGTCCGCCACCTCGTGCTCGTTGTGCGGTGACCGAAAACGTAGTGCATGGGGAGAAGAGGAGGCTATTGCGCGTGATGGAGGAAGAAGAAGGAGAAGAAAAGAAAAAGGAAGGAAGGAACAATCTGGAGCTTCTAGACTATTCTGGTTCGATTCGAATCTATTCGGTCTAATTCAATGATTTGGCTCAATTTGTTTGGTTTTCAGATTTTCCTTGTGGTTTTCGAAAAAAATAAAATAAATTTTCGGGTCCGATTTGATTTATTTTAATTATATTACTTAGGTTTTAGAACATTTCCTTATTTTACTAAATAATAATAAAAATAATTAATTTATATGGTAGTTACACCCACATAATTTTTTATAAACAGATTCAGTAAAGTTCCGTATTATTTCTCGAAAATTTTAAGTGTTCTCAAATCGAAATTTCCGATAATATATTTTGGGCTTGGGCCCAACTGGCAAATTTGGGCTCGAATCAAGATTGTATTATATTCGCAGCCCACACAGTCAAAATTTCTGATTTTTAATTTAATAAAAATTCAAAAGTTTCGAAACTAAAAATTTGGGGTATTTCAGTTTTACTCTCTCGAAAATGGGAAGTTGTTTTCCTTAAAAAATGAGTTAATTTTCCTTTGACCAGGAAACCAGGAAAATATTTTCCGTTGACTTATTTTTCTGAACGCTCCAAACAACGGAAAATTATAGAAAATATTTTTCTGCAAGTTATTTTATAGAAACAAATGGAACTTAAATAATAGTTCGCTTTTAATTAACTTACTCTAACTTTCAATTAACATACTCTAACTGGGGCATGTTAATTCGGCAAAACACATTTTATCAAAAGTTAGAAGGAACACTATTTCATAATCTGTTGTCTCAAATTCTAAACATTAATATAAATACTACATCACGACCAAAATAAAAATAACAAAGATAATGTTTTGACCATAGTTAAAATGTTAAATGATACATGAAAAATTATTGTCGAATAAAACTTAATCCAATTAGATTCATGTTCAACCTAATTCACAAACTATGATTTCTTTTCTTGCAAAATGTTGGAATTAATGGACGGGTATGCATACATGACTTGTGTATTCGATTCTAAATGTGTTTAATTAATTAATAATATTTAAATAAATTTAAATATTATTCTAATCGATTACAATGAAGTTTGAATCTACCATAGATAAGAGGAGTAATTTGTTATTTGTGATTACTTCTAAGATCAGTAACCTAGTAACACAAGGGTAATGGTTTTACATCTGTTGGGCTATAAAAGGTAGGTATTCAACCCATCCACTTTTACATATCATGTATAGATATATGATCATGTGATTCTAACACAAAAGATTCATGTGAAAATTAAATGACAATAAAAGAAAGACCACCAAATGATTTCATCTAAATATATAAAATAATAATAATAATAATAATAATAAAATACCAAACCAAATAATTATATTAAATATTCATTAATAATATTTAGTTTAAGGACAATGTTATTGGGAACATTCCATCTCATAAGCAACCTACATGTAATAATAATAATAATAATTGATATTATAACATCCCATTAAACTTCATATTCAACCAAAACATCTTACAGACTATATTACTTATATATGCATAAACCCATCAAACTATTTCTAAAACTGAAATATCTCATTTTGTATAGTTAGTGGATATGGAATATTAGTGGTCATTGACGCAAAGTTAGTAATCTCAATATTCTCCTCTATCTGCAAAAAAATTGAAAAAAAAAAATTATATAATGGTAAAATTCATGTGTTTCTACATAATTTTTTAATTTTTATTAAATAGGTAATTATGTTATTATTATTACCTTATCTTGGAGATATTGATTTGCAGCTTTCAGTATTCCTTCCTAGAGACCAAAAATTAATTTATTTGATTAACTATTGTTTTATAGCTTATGCTTTTATGTGAAAAAAAAATATAGAACATGGTAAGAAATGTCTCATGAAAAATATTTATATTATCAATTATAATTTCACCTCAATTACTTCTTAAATGTAGTGGTAAGAATGACAATATTTTTTTTTTTTTTGAGAATAAATGATAATATTTTAAATCAAGTATCAATGTTTAAAATTGAAAATCTCTCCCTTTATACTAAAAATAAATTAAAAAGCAAAACTACCAAACAATTAGTCAACTAATATCAAAATTAATTAGTTTGAAATATTATAATAAAAATAAAAAATGGAAAATAATACTAATTAAATTAACAATCTCAAATAATAATTCAACAACATTAAGGACTAACCTTGTTCTTCAAAAGCTGGATCTCTTTAGACATTAAGTCCATCTGTGTTCCATTAGCTAATAATTAGTCAAAATATTCAATTAACATCAATTAATTAATTAATTAATTAATTAATTTGATATATAAACCAAAGAAAATTTATTGTAACTATTGCCAACATTGTAGACTCTAATCGTGAAAAAAAAATAAAAAAAAGGTTAATTATACCTTTGTTGAGCGTACATGACAAATCCAAATTTCAAGATTTTTCTCCAATATCAGTAATTCATCCATTGTCATTTCTGCAGCTCCCCCTCCAAGAATGTGCCTGTATATATATATGTGTGTGTGTGTTAATTTCACAAAAAAAAAAAAAAAAAAAAAAAAATATATGTGTGTGTTGTGTTAAATTTCACAAAAAAAAAAAAAAAAAAAAAAAAAAGTGAATAAAAAATTGAAAACCAAAACCTTAAAAAAATATATATGTATAAAAAATGTAAAAAAAAAAAAAAAAAAAAAAAAAAAAGTGAATAAAAAAATTGAAACCAAACCTTAAAAATCATAATATGTATAAAAAATGTAGAGTAATTGTAATTAATCCTAATGTATATAATATATATAATAGGAAAAAAAATATAATACGAAAAATAACTAATTAATAATGAGCTAATTACCAAAGAATCAATGTACCTGAGTCCTTTTTGGAGTATGTTAATCTCTTGCTTCAACATGTTAATCTCCTCTATTGCATCCTGCACAAACAATAAGCAATTTATTTTACGAAAAAGTTATAAATAAATATTTTAATAATTGAAATTATTTATATTATCATAATTAAATTTTTGATTGCTAATTTTAGCCATAAGTATAATGTATTTTGCTTTTTGATTTACATAAATTACTTTTTAATTAATATATTCTTATTTCTTCCTATTTAATTTTATTTATTTAGTATATTTATTTATACCAATAATTATTATTCACTATTTTATTTTTATTATTACCTTTTCATTTTATAAAAATGCTATACTGAATAGATTTAAAAATCTTTATATATATTTCAATTTTTATCTTAACGATTGATGCTACTTGAACTTTATTTTATTTTTTTGCCAAATTAAACAAAAAAATTATATTATTTTTTAATTGACTATAGTACTTTTGAAGAGCACTATAAAATTAGCATCTGATGCTATATATATAACTAAACCTTTTTCACCGTTACTATATAATATATAACATAAATTCATATTCTTTACCTACTTCTCTGGAGAAGGAAAAAAATAACAGAAGAGTGAACTCACAGTCACAGTCACACAAGTACGAACAAGAGGCTCTGTCTCTTTGGCTTGCTCATTCTGCACTGAACCTCCAGTGGGCTTCATGTACCTCTCTATAAGCCCTTGCATGGTTCTGTCATAACCAAATTAACAATAATGAAATTTAATTTAATTACTAATATTTGGTTGTGTTCAAAATCACAAATGGAATTTTAGTCAATAAAAAAAAGGTAGTAATTAACTACTAATTTCGTGTTCCGTGGCAGTTTGGGCTAATTTTCAAATCAAAACTATCTTTATTTGTTGTAACCTAACGTATCTTTTATAATAGCTTTTAAAGATTAAAGGGGCTTTCGCTCTGCCGATTTGCGTTTAACTTTTAATTATTTTTTTTTTTTTTTTACAATCATACTTAATGTTTTTTTTCTCCAAATTCAGCTTATTAAACACTTAATGTCATTATTTTTTATCATTTTAAGTTGAACCGTTATTTTTATCAAATATTTTAAATTACAGCTATCAGCTAAAACTACCGGTCTATTACAATAGCTAGTAACTAATAAAACAACTAATATTACTGGAAAAAACCCTAAGTTATTGAAATTCAAATAATCGCAGACACTCTTTTAGGCCCTTGAATTTAACTCTTTTCTGAGAAATGGAGAAGCGAATTAATGAACTTCGAAACCAGATGAATATCATATCAACCAAAAAGAAAGAGAGTATATATATATGTACTTTGATAGAAAAGAAAAACCTTTGTATACATTTTTTGTGTGATAATGATAAGACGTACCCTTTGGTGGCTAGTTCATAGAGCTTTCCATGGGCGGAGAAAATGAGAATTCCAATTTCAGCATCGCACAACACAGAGAGCTCCTTAGCCTTCTTGAGGAGCCCTGATCGGCGCTTGCAGAAGGTAACCTGTCTATGCACCGGATTTTCTATGCGTTTCATCTGAACCTTTCCACGAGCCATTTTTCTAATTAAAACTCAAAATTCTCTTAACACTTAACGGTCGATTTTCTTTTCTTGTAAGCCTTAATTTCCTGCAGACAACCTTCCACTAGTTTGAACTAGCTTCAAGGTTGTTGCTTTCCTCCCCTAATCTCTCTCCAACAACTTCGCTAAAGATTGCTTCTCTTCTTAGTTTCTAATGCTTATATATGTACAGACAGAGTGTTTATACACTTATACATCAATAGATTCTTTCTTATTTAGATTCTTTCTCATCCCTCTCACACACCTCTCAAGAATAAAGAAAATGGGTGGCATGCTACTTCCTTTACTCTTTACAAAGTAGTTATTTTTTAATCTCTCTCAAGAAACATTATAAAAGAAATTTTTAAAGAAAACACATTCATAGTTAAGGGTTTTATTGATAAAATTATAATCTTATCCTTTTACTATACCAAATTTAATTATTTTATTTTATATTTTTTAAATATATATACGACCCGATATAGATTCAGATTTAAATTTCGTTCTTTAAAAAAAACAGAGATAAAGAATTAATTGTAATATAATTTGAAAACAAGAATACATTGCATTACAATCTCTCTCATGTTTTATTATTGTTTTTAAGAAATGGACTTTTATAATTAATGTATTTGGTGGCATGCAAATGCTTTTCACATGCACACCATTTTCTGCATAAATCGATACAACGTCGAGATTACGTCAGCCTTTTCCCAAAACTTCCATATTCCCCTGTGCACTTATGTGACCATGTATGTGTGATTAATGAAGCCTTTTTGTTTCTTTTGACTCCATGTATAAATTCACCTGCTTCTCGTAAAAAAATTACTTTTTTTTCAATCTATTAAATATTTTAATTTATAAAATTTAATTGATTAAATATTTATTAAATAATTAAAAAATATAAAAATTATCGTTCCAAAGTATCAAACTGATATTTTGGTATATACAAAAGTTAAAAACCTTATAATTTTATTATTTTAAGTGTAAAGAGATGTAAAATTATTAAAAAAAAAAGTGAAATTGAAAATGTTACAAGATTAATTTTAAAATTTAAGATGTCATAAGAGTTTTTCTTTTTTGTCAAAATTAAAATTTAAATGTTAAATTATGTATTCCAACTTGGCTTTTTAATAGGCTTTTCAAAGCTTTACAAACTTTGTGCTTTTGTGCTTTTGTGCTTCCAATTTGCTTCCTCAACTTTTTATATAATTTAGATGAAAATTAATTTTTAAATAGTTATTACTTTAATTTTACATCAATTGAATGAAAAGATTCATTTTTTTTGAAAAAAAATAATAAAATAGCAAATTTGAATAAAATAAAATTTTTTAATATTTTATTTTTAATAAACCAACATTTTACATTTGATAATAACAATAATAATTTTATTAATTAAAAACATTAAGAATTATTATTTTATTATTTTTTTTAAAAAATTAAGCCTTTTTATTCATTTGGTGTAAAGAGAAGGTGATAATTGTATAAAAATTAACCTTTTTAGGCAAATTGCATATATATCGCGCTCAATAGGTGATAATTTACATGTAAAGTCAAATTTAAGCATTGAATTAAGTTTTATTTATTTTGATTTGAATAACCTTATAACATTAAATATATAGTAATAAGTTAATTTATATTAAAAATATTCCTCTAAAATCCAAGATGGCTTGATGGATGAAGCACGTTAGACTCATCTTAATGATCCCAGGACAGAGTTGTGGAGCAGGTATTTTCAAAAGAGGTTTTAACATAATTGTTCTATCTAAAATGGATTAATTAGTCTTTCATTCAACCGTACGGAGGTGAGACGAAAGTCTTGGTAATATCACAAAAAATTCTAAAAAACTCATTAATTTCTTTATTTTGTATTTTTAATATAAAAATTCTAGAATTTTCATATAATGATTTTTTTTATCAGTAAAGAAGAATTTTTATTTAAGAATTAAATAGAAATAAATCAACTAACCAGGTTATTACATCCAAGTCATACGGTTTTCCCCAATGCACACTATCATGTCATGAAAAGTTAAGTAAAACCTAAATCTATATCCAAGATAATCCAAAATGCAAAAGCAAATAACAGCAGTCATTTCCATGAGAGGAGAAAAGAAACTACTACTGATCAACAACAAAAAAAAAAAAAAAAAAAAAATATCCAAAGATATCCAAATGCAAAAAGCATAATAAACAGCAGTCCATTTCCATGAGAGGAAGAAAAGAAACTACTACTGATTCAACAACCAAAAAAAAAAAAAAAAAAAAAACACAAAAAAAAAAAAAAAAAAAAAACACAAGTATATCACGTACAATTTTATAACCATGCCAAAAAAGGTATTGTTGCTGTTACCCATTTTTTTGCCAAGGAATCTGCGAACGATTTTCTTCTCCTCTTTATATGATAAGACTGAAACCTAAGATAAAACATTAACTAAGACATCAAATTTGTTAAATTTTTTCCACCACTTCCATAGTTTTTTATTTTTGTTGATAACTTAAATGATAGCATTCCTTGAATTAGACTCAATAATCACTTTTGAGATGGTTAAATAATTTTCTTTTAATTTTTATGTATAGTAAAAACTGTCAAAATTTAATGGAATTGAGAGAGTATTAAATGTAATAATGTAGGAAATTGTCACTTTTAGAGTAGTAATTAAAACCTAACACCAAATATAATTAATAAAACCCTCTCCACTCATCCATCTTAACTTTGAAGACAAGAATATTATGAATTGTCTAATCACTTTCATTCAGTAGAAATCCTAAAAGATATCTTTTCCTTTGAAATACCTTATGTACATAACATGTGCATATTCTCTAACAAGTCTTCCACCTACACATCACAAATAATTTTCTCTTTTCATTTTATCATGTGGTATAAAATTAATTAATTAATTAATTATTATTATATTTTTTATTTTTTAAAAATAAGAGATTATTTTCTCGTTCCATAATTATATTTAAAAATCATATATTAAATTCAATTCTGATTAATCAACCCTTGCATTATAAATTTAAAATTCATAACAAAATTTTATTTTTTAATCCAAAAATTTTCAATCATACAACTTAAAGACTTAGACCACTCTTTTTCCTCTAGAAAACCTAATCTTATATTACAAATTGTGCTTAAGATTTTTAGAAAATAAAATATGTTGGTAATAAGGTGGCTGGCACCAATTATTGGTCATGTTTGGCCAAGAAGGATCTTGATAAAGCATGACTTGTCCCAATCAATATAAAGAATATAAATCTAAAAAATTTTAAAATAATTCTATGAGTAATCACATCAACAATACAAGGAATAGATACTTTATACATATAAAAAGAAATGGGAGCCAATACCACTTTAAGACTGTCTGTTATGTTGTTGGATGTATTCTTATCCTGCTTCTAATTTCTCTGTTTGAGCTGCATGCATGCATTAACTCTCATACTGAGCTCCGATGACATCCAGTTCAAGTACTGTAAGGCCTGTATATAAAGTGACTCTCCTATCATAATAATTTCTTTATCCAAATTTTAAATTCGAGACTTTTAGTTAAAAAAGAAAAAGTCTCAATTACTGCATCCCGATGTAATCAATATATCTTTACTATAATTTTTAAATTTTAACAATATTATACACCTCTCAACACTGAAAATAAAATTAAAAAGATAAAAAAAAACAATTAGTGTACATTGAACAGTAAAATCAAGAACAGAATCACATAAAAAATAATTGAAAAAGATTATTTCTTTTGGGAAAAAAATGTAAATTATTTCATAAGAAAAATCTAAAAATTATATATGTATATTAAAATATTTCATAAGAAGAGAATCTAAAAATTATATATGTATATTATATATAATATATAATATATATATATATATATATGAAAACTTCTCTATAGAAAAACTCACCTTAAACCAATATACTTGTGCATATAAAAGACAAACTTTAAGAATTATTATTGTTTTTAGAGAGATATATAATTTTATAAATATAGGTACAACAGGTTAACAGTAAAATTAGAGAGTGTCGTTTGGTTAAAGTGATAAAGTTTGAAAGAGGAGATATTTTATATTTTTGACCTATATTATAATTTATATTCTTGGTTATCGATATTTTTTATGCTAAATATATTACTTTGTAACTTTTCCATTATTTTTGTTTTAGAAAAAAAGTCTCAACCTAAAATTCCAATCTACCATTGCATACAAGGATATATGCGAATTTATTAATTTGAAATAAAAAATAATCAATATTTTGTTTTAAAAATCTAAAATCACAAAATATTAATATGAATAAAATTTAAAAATATATATTCATTTCAAATGCCTATTTTTTCATGTATATGCAATTTAAAAAATGTAACAATTGCGTCAAATAGTTAATTATAAATTGAAAATTTTCAAGAGATTAATCTAGAGGAACACTTTTTTACGGCTGCATGTTCGAATGAGCAATTGCTATACTTGGGCTTAGCCCGAGGAGTGGCGGATCTTCAAAAAAAAAAAAAAAAAAAAAAAAAAAAAAAAAAAAGTTTAGAATCAACTATGATAAGTAATATAATAAAAGGAGATTAATCATAATTTAGAGGAGTCAATTTAGAAGAATATATGATATATATATATCCAATGAAATTTTTTAAAAAGTTCCTATTTATCTCTCTTTTTTTTTTTTTTTTTTAAAAGTGGATTTTTTTTTTTTTTTTTAAAGTGGATTCACCACTTGCCTTAGCATGACGGTTGAAAAATGTAATGACTTAAGTTGATTTTTAAACTTAATAATACTATTTAACTAGCGTTATACCCATATTTATTTTTAAACTTAATAATGCATGGTTTTAATATATAATTTTTTATTAATTTTAAATTTTCTCAATTATAATATTATTAATATTTTTTATTATTTTAATATATCATGTAATTATATTTGAATTTATTGATCTATTTGTCTAGAATATGTTTTTTTTTTCCTTTTTTTCTTTCTCGTTAAAGTATATTTAACATAAATATTAGATGCATTTTAGTATAAAACACTAATGGTGATAAGTTTTTTCCAACTATATTTGTTTCAAAGCTATATTTGGAAATTTTTTATATATTATTCAAATCATAGTTAAATTCAATTAATCTTTTTCGAAAATACAAATAAATTCAACTAATCTAAACTATATCACAAATGTTTCAACTTTTAAAATGTTAAAATGTTGTTTCAACTTATAAAAACTATATTTAAAATGTTGTTATGTATATCAAAGTATTCATCACATTTAT